AAATGGGTGTGTAGGGAGACATACAGGAACAGACACAGACATTCTATTTCTCTAGCACTCCGTAACTCTCAACCATTTTTGGGTTTAGGCTCTTCTGGAGCTAGTTGTGACTTCTATGTTTTCAGCAAGGCCCAGTGGATTTCTCATTCATGAAACAGCCCAGTCTTCTTTTGAGCCTGTTCTTAATTAAGTCTTCACTGTGCCTCTTCAGTTTGTTTTTAATCACTAAATCTATCAACATAATTAAATCTTGTAGCATTCCAATCGAGCTTTTCCATGTAACATTCTTTTCTAGCAAGTATTTTATTATTTTATTTTATTTTTCTGTCTTGGGTAATTCTTAAGCCAATTATTTGAGAAAGTAACACTGAATAATCCTTTGACCCTTCTTTAATTCTGCCCTGTGTGGAAGCATCTGGCTGTTGTTCTCATAAGCATTTAAATAATGTATTTATCAGTTAATAACTAAAAGGTTGGGTTAGAGGAGTTAACTACAATTATTACATTTTGATTGGAAAAGGAGTTATATTTTGGCAGATCACCATTTTAAGACTAAATATGAAAATCTGGGGCCATTTTGAATTTCATATGTCCTTTGCTTTTCAAGTGACCATGATTTTTTTCTATCTCTTAACAAGGGTCTCTTCTTTGTACTGGTATTGTTTCCTAAAATGTTATTTTAAAGGCTTCAGGCTTTAAGACAGGGTTTTGGAACCTGTAGAAACAGTAAGTTATGTATGTTTAAAGTTAGCTTTTCTCTCTCTGCAGGTTATTAATCCAGTGTTGCATTTGATTGTGGGGAAATGACTTCAATGTAATAAAATAATCTGAAATGAGGGTAATGTTCATGAAAATGTCAGGAAACTGCATCCATCTTTAACCCTAGAAGCCTCTAGCATGGTATATATCTCTTGTCTTAGACATACATCAGGTTTTTGCACATACTTTTAAAAAGGTTTTCAGTGAAAACTTCCTACCTAAGGAACTTGTAATTAAAAAAAAAAAAGTTCCATTACATGCATGTGCATGAAATTGCAGTACAGTTTGTTGCATGCAACCTTTACCATTATGCATGTCTGTAGGCATGTAATAACTTTTAATTAAAAAATAATTTTTAAAAAAAATTACATTGGAATACGTTATTTTACCTTTTACAAGAAAGGCTTTTTTTTTCCTGGGGAAAATTGAGATTGAAAATCTGAATGTTTTGAACAGCTCTTCAAATTATTTCATACCAAATATGTAATTATTATTTAAGCCGAGTCAGAAAATATTTGCTCTAATAAATGTTAAAAGCATCTTTAAAATATTTAAAGTACAGTAAGCATAATGTCCAGCATAAAGCGGAGGGACCAGCAGGTGGTGCTAGTGGAATATAGTTCAGGTTGCCTTAAGTGTGTCTTAACAAATGTGAATTAAACCGGTGCATATACGAAAACTTACTTTCTGTGCAGCAAGTAAGTTTGTAGAATTAAAAAGAGCAAATCGGAATACTGTGTAGCAGCTTTGTGCTTTGGGCACTTTTGTTTTTTAGTAGTTGGATTTAGACGCTGAGGAAAAAAACTGACCTGTAGGATGGCTAATGTGGGAAGCAGGCAATACAGTACACAGTTCCAGATTCTTTTCTGCTTTTTTCTTAATTCAGTGTATGAAACTTGGCCATTCATACCACTAGCTTATTTATCTACTACATTTTGACTTTAAATAGGAAAATAACTTCAAGAATGTTAACTGTTAAGATTTTGGTCAGTGCAAGAATCTTTCTGCTTAAGGAATGCACAGAAATAAGGATCTTATTTTATGAGAGGGTGGGGGAGACTAGTTTTCTGGTTTAATATATTATGTGGCTTAAAAACTCAAAGTAGAAACAAATTATAGTTCTGAACATATACAGATTTATAGGTACAGTTTTACCAACTCTTATGAGGGCTTTCTTTGGACTCTCTTGAAAATTGTATCCTTTAAAGTAAAGGAGAGGGGAGAGGAGGTTAGAAAACAGTGTGGACAACAGTAATTTGGAGCAAATTTCTATAATCTACGGATTTGAGCATCTTTGGTTCTGTCTTAATGTGCATAGATATAAGTATATTCTTTGAAACCATGATGCAGAGCATTTTACTATATTAAATTGGCATAAATTATCCTACATAGCCTTTTAAAGAGGCATATTGGAATTAAAAACACAAAACAAACAACACAACAAAACCAAAACAGTAGAAAAACACAAAATGTCTGAACCAAAGTGACTGTCTCTTGACTAGTCAAAAAGTAAAATCATAACAACTGCAAACAAAAATTCCACAACCTATTTTGCTAGTAACCTTAGTGTTTTGACAAAGCTAAATGCTTTTAGTATTTTATGTGCCAGTGTCACATTAGTAACTGCCTCACTGTAGCTAAAAACTAACTAAATCAAAACGCATGACAGCTACTAATATGTCTGAAAAAATTTTGTTGACTATGGTTAAGTGTACCAGAGGGTGGTTTCTTTGGAGCATGTGGTCCTACACATTTACTCTGGGTAACAAATTTTGTTACCATCCAGGTTTTTCATGTCTTAGGTGCAACTTCCAAGTCTTCTACACCAAATACTTCACAACTGCACACGTATACAAAACCATCTTAGAGTGGATATCAAACATCCAGTGTATGCTGCTTCTGAAAGTCCTTTTTATATTTTGTTTTTCTGCTTCAGGTAATTTTTTACTTGGCTTACCCCCTACTTTCTCCCCCTGGTATATAAATGTTCGTGCACTTGAGGAAAGGAAATGTGCTCTTTTCAACTGTTGCTTTCTCCCATCCTGAGTTTAATTTTATTTACTATTTTAGCAAGGACTCTTTGTACTACCCACCTTAAAAATTGGCATGAGCCACTTACTACCATAGAATGATACTATTACTGCATTCCTCTCAATTCTGAAAACTGACAGTGTAACATTAATGAGAATCAGTAAGATTTCAACTGTGTTAGAATTCCCATCCATGCCACCTTGTTTTTTCACTGCACAAAATACGGGGAGGGGTCAAGGAGTAATCTGTGTGCAGTAACACAATTTATAGTGCAGCACTTTAAAAAAGTGTGCAAAGCATGATTTATTTTTCTTAGCTTTTTTTTCTAACTTTTTAATCCAACTGTAACATGAATGTAAGAAATTTAGCAGTTGCATGAGAGGTTAACTTTTGGGTCTGTTCAAATACAAAGAGATTGAGGAGTGAGTAGTTAAAAGCTGTTAGAAGTATGTGCTAATGTGTGTGGTGTTTTGGAAGCAATTTAAAAAGGGAGCGCTTGCCAAATGCTGTCTTTATATGGTGTGAACAGGTTAAGAAATATGTTCAGCTGCATTGTTCATTATCCTACCTGTTCATCAGAAAAATCAGTTTGATGAGGCTTCTGTCAACATCTCCCTTTTTCAGCGGTTAGGTTTTGTGATATGACCGTATTTCTGACTTTGTTTTGCTGGTCACCCTGAGTTGTCTTTTCTAGGACTGTTTTCTGAATGCCAATGAGAGTGAAGGAATGCCTGTAATAGAGAATATTTTTAAAAGATCATGTAAGCAGTTTTATTTTTATTTGCCTCATTTGGGCTGTTGATGAACTGCTTTGAACAATTTTGCTAATACAAATTTTATCCTCTGTATTTATTTAAAGATCCAGTTTTTCTCTGATAGTGAAATGTTCTTTTGAGTTTCTAGTAACTAAAATCTGACTTGTATGTACAGCACTGTACTAAATTTAATTTTGATTGAATAGATAATCATTTATATGTATGTATATTTTTAAAGGACTGTAAAAACAACAATCAAAATGTACGTGTCTTTTATACCTGCATTTTATACTGTTTATTGTTGACATGCTTGGAACTCTCAAGAGGAGTGTGTTTTATTGCTGAGCAATTCTTCAGCTTTTTCTAAAGGGAGAGGCTTCTAGGCATCAGTTTCTTTATTTAATATTTGACCTACTAAATGTTCTTAAAATGAAAATTCATAGTCTAATTTTAAAACAATATGAAGCGAATTTACTGGTTTTATTGAAAGGTCTGAACTGTGTTTTCCCTCATTATGGCAAAGATAATGTTATTCTAAAAGTGGAAAACTAGAAATAAAAATGGTTCTGAAACTGATGTTATTCATCTCCAATGGAGTAGTTGTATGATGCCTTAATTATCAGTCTGAAGTTCAAGTTGTGTTGAAGTTATTTGAAGAAATATACTGCTGATTCAGTGGTGTCAAAATTTCACAGCTGAAAATAAACTTAGGCTATGAATATTTGATTGCAGTTTTCTCTTGAGTGGAACTGGAGCACTCAAGGTGTTTTTAATTGTGTTGTGGTTTGCATTGGGGACTTTTTCATCATTACTTGAATGAGTTTGGAGGTGTGTGGAAGATACATGAATTGTTGTTAGGTTATTGAAGACACATAGTCAGTCTGTCTGTCTTTGGGAATGGCTGTGAGAGCGGGGAGAAGACGATATTAAATGCCGCTGAGAAGCGAGCCGCAGCTCTGTGGCTCTGTCTGTGTCAGGCTGGGTTTTTCTGAGTATTTTAGGCAGTTACCTTTAGACAGTGTGCATACACACTCATAACTTGGGTTCGTGTAATAGTCAAATTGATATTAAACATTAGAATCCAGGAGCTTTTATTGAAATAGTCAGGTAGGCTTTTGTTTTGTTTATGGAAGGTGGTTTGCCTATTTACTTTTGGTAATACTTGTTCCTTGTGTTCATTTTCTCTGTTGTAAGATTACTACAGGGGATGATATAGTGCACAGTATGTATTTATGATGCGGCCAGAATTGAAAAAGAATGGATGTCGTAAGTCAGGGAGAAGTGTTTAGACATCTTTTCTTTTTTCTGTGCTGTCTTAATTTTTAAGTATTGAGTTGATTCCAAATATTTTTAAAATAAGAGGCTTTAAAAAAAAACAATCCAAATATTAAATTAAGTCACTTGCTACCTCTAAAAGTTATGTGGTGTTTAATTATTTGTGATTTTATTTTTCAGCATTGTCAGTGAAGCAGGAGCATCTATCTACAGCGTCAGTCCAGAAGCGTCCAAGGAAATGCCAGACCTAGACCCTAACCTAAGAAGTGCAGGTATGAAGTGTGTTTTATTTTGTCACCATTTCAACGTGGAGCTTCAACATGGAATTTCAGCATTTCAGCAAGTCTCTGTTCTCAGACTGTATTGTATTGTTTATAATATTAAGTATAATAATAGTCAAAAGTATAGAAAATGAAGGGTTGAGTATTTTGCTTCTGAACTTTAGTTCTTTTGTCACTTCACATTTAAAGGCCTAGGTATGCAAATCAAGGACATTGTTTTCTATAAAGGCATGTAACATTAAGGTCTTTGTGGATATATTCCTTCAGTAGACTGGTACAGGAGAGTTTATGGGGATTAATATAGCCAGTTAATTTCATAAACTTTCACAATTGGATGTGTCCGTGCCAACCAGAGCTACACCTTCCTTGTCCATCGGGTGTACACAAATGCCTCTAACAATAATTACACATTTCAATGACTAGAAAAAGATGTGAGAATAGACCAAGTAATTTAAAGGTGTGCGTTCATTGTGTTCACCCTGAAGTCTTTATGTAGCTGAATATAGTCCTCAAGAAGTACTATATAATTTTAGTTTTAAAAAAAGTTATCTACTTCAGCATAAATGTCAGAGGTGTATAACACAGCCCAAGTTCTTAGAAATGTACAAGTGTTGCCATGTATATTTTGCAGTGTTTGGTTTAAGAGCAGTCTTTACAGATCAAATTCCTAGCAGCTTTGTTGGTGTCCAAATTCTACTCATGGATTTGGTTTACTGGGAGACAGCAGTTAGGACAGGTCTGAGGTTATTTTGGTTTACTTAATTTGTGTATTTTTAATTGTGTATCTTTTTGTGTTTGTTTTTATTAACCCCAGTTTTTTATTTTCTTGGTTTACCTGCAATTTACTGTCATAATCAAATAAAGCACATTTGAAAATGCAGTGATGGTCTCATATAGAAATATTTTCCAGACTAAGCGTTCCGGTTCCTAATTTTACTGTTAGTTTAGCAGATTACTGGCCTTGAAATCCTGAGGAAGGTGTAGAAGTAGGTCAGCAGAAAACGGTTGTGAAGTTACAGGATATTTGGTGTAAAACTTTCTAAGACACCCCATGTTCCTGTTTCTTCTTATTTCCACAAAGGGGAAAAGGGATTTGAGTTAACTTGATATTTCAAGTGAATTTACAGGAATATTCTTTAAATGGCTGTATCAGCCTTTCCATTTGCAGCACAGGCCTCTAAATTTTTAAGATTTTTTATATTTTTTTTTTTTCTTCCCTCTTTCCTCCCTGCCAGCAAACAGACTCTGTTGTGGTTATTTGGTTATTTCTTTCCTGGTTTTGAATGTGTCACAATGTGGCCACAGCGAGTTTTTAGCACATGACATTTCTGTATTTGATAGAGATGCCACTAACTTTTCCCTAGACCAAGGTTTAGCTTGATAATATATTATACCTGGGTTTAGAATTTATGTAAATGAACAGAAAAGCACTGTAAAGAAGGAAATCTAATTATTAACAATATACTTTTCCAGATGTACATGATTTTCTTTTTTTTCAAAAGGTAATTTTTGAAAATTTCAAACACTTTTATTTAGTGTTGTACATCAAATGCAGTAAGTGAAAATGAAACTTGTAATACATGACCAATTTCAGTATCAGTTCTTTGGCGTTCATAATTTCTCTATTATTACTAGGAATTGCTTCAGGTATGTCTTAAGTGCTGTTGCATCTGGTCTGGAAAAGCATTAGGAAATTTAACACGCCACAGCAGTACTGCAGAGTGGACAGAAATTGAAAAGGTGTAGGATAAAAAGTTACGAATAAGTGCTTACTTCCATGGATGTTGGTGGTTATAGAGCTAAGAACAGAACTAGAAGTGTATTTATTACAATACAATCTTTCTAAAAATTTTAGGCTTTCTTGATCTCTTTTGCTGTTGATTTCTAATTAGCTGCTCTAAAGCTCTGGATTTCTTTTTAAAGCTAAACACAGAAATCTGACATAACGTTAGAGGGAAATATTAGCTGATGTTTGGGGTTTTTTGTAAATTTTTTTCTTGACTGTCTTTTGTAGTTTGGATTTTCCTTTAATATGCAGCAAACAGAAAAGTGACATGGTGTCAAAGCTGACTTGCTTTTTATTTTAATTCTTGTGTTACATCATGTCAGGTTCTTTACTTACATGATAGCACTTAGTACATTAAAGGAAGCTGACAGCTGCATGATGAAGTGTGACATTTATAGTTAAAATAAAAGGTACAACTGACGTGAGATATTTGTGATCTTAACATAATTTGCCACTAACATTTTTCTCCAGACAAACTTTATAGAAAGATTTGGAGATTTTTTAATTACACAGGCAAGCCTATGTTTATCCATCAGGTACATAAATATAAAAAAATCCATATTATATGAGAATGTATTTTCAAATCTTATGATATGATCTCTGTAATATTTACAGTGCTGTTTAGCAATGGTTTGTAGTAAATTTGCACTTCACACAGAGAAACAGAGTACATCAATTCTGGTTAAAATGTTACCTTATTCATTTTTCCTTGATTGAGTGTTTTATATAGCAAACTTTAGCATTTCTTAGTTAGGCCAAGAACTCAAACAGTTATTTTTTTTCCTTCTGAGCTGTCTTTGAACGTCATGGATTACATGAGTTTATAGTAAATTATTAAGAAAGGTCTCATTATAGATTAATGGTGTATGTATAAACTATAGTGAAATGTCTTTATAGTCATAGTTACAGCACTTATAGCCAAAAATGCACTTGCTTGAAAAATAATAATAATAATAATAGCTTATTTCTTAAACAATTAACTGGTATCTACAGTGCAGAGAATGGAGTAGGGCCTCTCCAATTTTAGAATTGTCCTCCAGAGATTGCTGCCTTCTTTCTCACATTAGGCAATATACAAATTCTTTACGTTGAACCAGGTTCTTTAAATTTTTTTAACATCAAATCTGAATATTTCAGGAAAGTGCAAAGCTTCTGTACTGCTATTGCAATTCATATAAAATCTTGTGGAGTAGGACTCAACTAAGTAGATAGTAAAGAACTTGATGAAACCTAGTGACTTGAGTTTGAGTGAGAAGGTATATATCTCCTTCTGTCAGTCATTGTAGAATTAATGAGCAGAACAACTATTTCTTAGCCTCACAGAATTAGGAGATAAGAGGTTTATAGGTCAGAGTAATAAAAGGATTTCCTACTTGATAGGCTGAGGAAGTTCAGCTGCAGCAGATTAGGAGGGTTCTGCCTAGAGAACAAGCCATTGGAGTTCAGTAACAGGGACTTTTGGATGAACTTGCAGTAGGGCTGCAGCCTAACAGAGACGGGAATGCAAAGCTTCCTCGAATTCTTCCCAAAAGCTGTGCCTAAGAACAGGCTGAAGATTTGGAGTGGAAATTGTTGAGCGGGAGAATTGACACCATAAAAAGGGTGTTTAGCAAGCTGTCGATGTTGATCATCTTTGTGAAGCTTATTATTATGTGCCCTCTTGAGGCTTTGTAATTGCCTGCTCTAGGGTTAGTGGAACGGCAATGAAGAAGCTGTGAGGCTGGGTGGTGACTGCAATTCTGTTTCTGCCCTGACGTGTCCTCTGGCCACCTTCTTAGAAAAGGAGTCAAATGTTTAATTTGGAGGAGTTTTTTAAAGCAGTCAGATTAATTTTTTTCTTGGCTGTTCTGTTCTTCTCTTTGTAATTTTTTGTGTTTTGTTTTTCTCGGTTGCCGTCAGTGTGGCATTTTTCATATCTGAGCATTGGTTAGTTTTTATTTGTGGCAACTTCAATTAGGAGGTTTTTTTTGAAACTTGTAAATCAAATCTTCTGGATTACTCTTTGTCTGTGTGGTTGAGATTTGCTTGTGCCTTTTTTAATGGAAAGCCTGGATCTAAGTTTCCCTTTGAAGCAGTTTTAAGTTCCATGCTCAGTGAACAGTTACTTTGCCTTTCAAGTTTACCAGTAATTCTCCTTGCCACAAGTCTTATTTCCTTATCAGAGTGTTTGAGAAGACTGTCTTGATGTGGTATACTTTGCATGACTGAAAGAAAAAAAGCTAAACTCAGTGATGGGCATTCTTCCCTCAAACAGGTGGAGTCAGAGACAGTGTTAACTGGGTTTTCTTGTCACTGGTCCTGTGAACTCTGGAATTAAGTAGTCTTCCAAAGGTTGATTATCTTCTTTGTTATGTGTCCATCCCAAAGGCTTATCTTGGTGGGGAGAACCTTTTTCTCTAATGAAAACAAGGCTTCTGGGGCAAGAAATAAAATGTATGTCTGCAGGTATCAGTGTACTTCTTGTTTTGTTTTTGTGTTTTATTCTCTTAACACTTCTCCACTTCTACAGTTCCTTATTGTTGGAAGAGTTGTTGGCAGAACAATTTTGTCTAGACAAAATGGGAAGTTTGTGGAGGAACACATGTAATATATAGAAAGTGTAAGCAGGTGTGATTCCTGTTTCAAGGACAAATAAACACAAACACGGAATTTATGTACTTCCTGGATGTTTGGAATCTTTTTATGGTATTGTCAGCATGTGGTGGTTCTGTTGTTGTCCATAGTACTAAGAAGGTAATGAATACACCACTTGTTTGGCATATGCTCCTATCAGAATTTTTTTTCTTCAGCTGCCTCTCTACCTCTTAAAGTAGATACCATGATGAAGTGAATGTTGCTTAATAGGTCTAAGAACGAGAGGAAACAGCTGAATTCTGGTGAAATGATGGAGAATCACTATGAGGCAGTAGTCATGCTAGGATTTTACCCTGGTTTCAATATACACTCAGTTATATTAAATGGCAAATGCCTTCATTTCATTAAATTGATGAATTACCTTTTATTTTGAGATGACTGCTCTGTCAAATAAGCAATCTCTTCTTTCTTTCACTGTTTAAAAAGCAAAATAAAAGCCTAATGTACTTCACTGCATTGATTTATAAAACTGCAGGGAAACCTGAATACAAGGAATTGCTTGAACATGAGATGAGGTGGAAAATGGGGTATGTCTTTTCAGACATCAATGTTTGTATAATCAGTTGTTAGA